AGAGGGTAGAATTTACAGCTATGGACATATTTTGACACTTTCGTAAATAAGACTTTTTATGAGCTCAAATCCTTTCCATCATGATTACCTGGCACATTAACTTTTTTAATAATTGTATGTAGATTAAAAAAAATCAATTTGCTACATTATAAAATGAAATTCATAAAACTGCCAATATCCTTCAAAAAGCACTTTTGTATTTGAAAGTGATAAAATGCATCAGCGGGCGGCAGCAGAGGAAATGGCTTGTTTTATTGCACCTAATGTTTATCAATTTCACTTAAAACGCAAGGCACTTTGTAATCGTTCTCCTCCGTGCCTGCTAAGTTGACAAGTCTTCCTACAGATGTGGCGAGGAGGCATTCTGCCAATGAGCTTTGTGGAGTGTGGAAAAACGCAGCAGGTCACTCGGCTGTTTCCTTTGTCTGTGTCCAGGCTGTTCCAGAGGTGTCGGGAGGTCAGATTCAGCCGCTCCATTTGGGAGATTGCTTTCCCGTTTCATTTGTTACCAATAAATGTCTTTATCCACAGAGGGGGTCTTCCTCCAAGTGTTGACAGGAGAGAAATCTGTCTGTGCCTATAATGGAAAGAAAGGCGTTGTAGTCAGAACTAACTTTCCTCCCGTATAATAAAGATTAAAGCGTATCTAAATCCAGAAATAAAACTGTCATATATTGCGGTTTAGCAGTCATTAGATGTGGTGGCTGCAACAGTTTTTTCTTTTTTTTGGCTTTGTTTTTTTTATTTTCACCTGGTGATCAAGCCAGTAACACTCTTCCTGTCTTAAAGGGGGGCTACAATCAAAGGTAGAGCAACAGAACCTCCTTTGGACAGCAGCATTGTCGCCCTGTGAGGAGGGGAGTGTTAGATTCATTTAGCAAAATTAGATGGACTTGAATAACAAATTTAATCTGAACTCCAGCTAACACTTTTTAAGCAGTTACAGCAACAGTTTTTTTTCTTCTTTTGGGTTAAAAATTTTCCGTAAATGAATACAAGCTGACCATTCTAAGCACCCCATCTGTGTTAAATGGTTTGTCTCAACCCTCTGTCAAAAAAAAAAAAGAAAGGAGCTAATGCAGCCACATTTAAGGATTGGTAGGCTGCACTATACTTACCTTTCACCGAACGCTCCTTTCCCTGCGCTGCACTTTTGACCACGCTAATCAATGAGAAACGCTTCTTGCTAAGAAGCGCTTCTCATTGATCAGCGCGGTCAGATGACCGTGCTGACCAATGAGCGCTCACCATTTGCGAGCAACATTTTTAATCCATAGAGTTTTGCGCTACACGGCAGTACATGGTACGGATAGTACACTCGTACCGGTGGAAAGGAAGGAGCGTTCACCAAAAGGTAAATATGGCAGGGAAGGAAGAGGGGGTCAGATTTGAGCGGGTAATGCCATTTTCCTAAATTCACTTGGGAAAGGGAACTTAGCCTTTAACTTTGCGCTTAAATAAAAGTTGCTCAAATTACTTATTATGTCCAGGAAGCATTACTAGGAGTCAACATTTAGAATGCCCGCTCATAATAATTTAAAAGAGAGCTAAAGCCAAACCTTTTTTTGGCTTTACTTCTCTTTTGGGTCAGTGGAGTACATTCACTGCTTATACCTGAGTCAGCATATAGTAAGCCACTGCCCGCTATTTGCTGACAGCGCAGAGCTGAACCGCATCTGGGAAGGATCCCAACAATATTGTCGGGATCCATCCAGCTGCCTTATTGACAGCTGGCTCTGCCTCTCTAGAGCCAGAGCCAGCTGTGCCCGCCCCTCCCTCCCTGTCCTTCCAATGAGCGCTGGGGGAACAGAGAGGAGGGTGGGGATCCCTGTGGGGAGCGGTGACTGACAGTCGCTGCTTTCTGCAGGGAGAAGAAGGTGAGCTGAGCGATCAGCAGTTACATGATCACACAGCTCTCGATCTATAGAGCCAGCGTGTGACAGCTGCAGTGTTCCATGTCTGCTCAAAATATTGGGAAGAGTATATTTTACTCTCCCATTACTTCTTTACATTGAAGCTGTGTGCTCACTAAGTTACAGTGCTATCTTATGCTGTTGGCAGGTAGCCATGCCATCCACAGCCTTGCCAAGCCAGATGCAAAAATACTGAAATTTTGTACGTTGCCATTGGCATATGCATTTATAAGCCCTCACATATGAGCATGCGCAGGTCTGCTTATTTGCCTGTTGTGAACGTAACCTTGTATTGTCAGGTAGGGAAGGCTGCTAATCCAGGCAGTGCTGGGGGAGCAAAAGTAAGGTCAAAGGTTACTTGTTAACACTTTATACTGGACAGCAATTAGTGAACAATTTTTCCTTTAGTCTTTTATAGTGGAGCATAGATTACCTGAATATTGGCTCTGATTCATTTTCCTATTTCCAATCCACGTGGGGTAGAACTGCCTCCTCTTGCCAGGCATTGTGTTTTGCAGTATTTATCCTTTAGACATCTCTCAGATTGTAATGCATCCTGTAGATTGCAGCATGGGGTCTATGTAGGCCTTCATTAACTGGGGTAGAATAGAAAGGGGTGGGAATAGAAGATAACGAAGGGCTGCCCTTCCAACACATGAAGATGACTGCTGAGAGATCGTGAGAGGTCCATCTTCAACACTACTCATGCAATAGTGCATCTCACCAAGCATTTCTTAAGGTGCCCATACACCTTACGACCATCGCAAGACTTTTGTCTTGCGATGGTCGTATGCTTCTTGAAAGCCCGTACGATCTGCCCACCTTGGACGGGCAGCGCAAGACCTTAGTCTTGCGATGGTTGTAAAGTACTTAAAAAAACGTACGATCTGCCCATCTTGGACAGGCAGATCGTACTTGCGATCAAGGGGGCGGGCTTGCGATGACTGCAATAAGGGGCGGGCTTGCGAGGATGGCAAACGGGCAATGTTCGCGTGCGCACACCGGCCCGTTCGTCAGTTGTCGAACCAGCAGGCCACTCACTCGCCGAGAATCGTACGTTTCCCGGCGGGTTTTCCAGCCTGCTTGTTCGCTGGAAGACGTGCGACCGTACAGTAGAAACGGTCGCACGCCTTCCATACACTGTACGATTCTCGTACGATCGCGGGATTTCCCGCGATTCTCGTACGAGAATCGGACAGTGTATGGGCACCTTTAGACTCCTAAGAATCCTTCAGGAAAAAAAACCTGCAGTATTGTAGGCGTGTCACTTTGCTTCCTGTGTATATAGTAGCCTGCCCTCCACTCTGCAATCAATCAAGCTATTAGCTGCTTGTAATTAAGCTCTGTAACAAAGCAGATCATTATCTGGAAACTGATTTTAGCTATATCAATAGTTAGCACAGCAGAGAGGGTTCTGGTAACTGGCAGTGCATATAATGCGCTGAACAAATAAAGTTGTTTTATGTAGAGAAAACATTTCACATATAAAACAAGATCAATTATGAAGAGCATGTTGAAATAATGCATAATGTACTCACCTTTTCAAACTGGCATATAGTAGTAGAAAATCAGCAGTCTAGGCATCTTCTGTTTAAATCTCTGAGAGCAGGAAACTGCATACCCTCAGAACTTTGTACACTGCTTTATGTCTTTAAACTAAAATAGGGTACACATGAAGCGAATTCACTGTGTTTGTGATCCTGTTCCATCGGCAGAGGTTGCTCATTAGATCGATATTGATCATCTTCGGCCGAATGGTGCTCCACAGCCAGTCAGCTGCAAGCTCCATTTGGGTAGTGTGACAGCAGCCGGCAGCCGCTGTCAGAGTACAAAGCTCACAGAGGAAGATTAATCCATTCACACTGTTGCGCATGGAAGGAGAAATCTGTTATATAAAAATATAACCATGTATAGCTGATGTAAGAGTGAGAAATTCTGCTTCAAGTAGAACTATGGCCACCCACTCCTCAAAAATGTCTACTCCCTTGGCATCAAAGACCCAGTTCTCTCCTGGTCTTCCTCCTACCTATCTCGGTACACCTTCAGTGTTACCTTCAGCTCTTATCTCCTCGCCACTACCACTGTCCATAGATGTTCCCAAATGCTCTATCACTGTACCCCTTCTATTCTCTATCTACATCTTCTCCCTGGGTCAGTTGATAGTCTCCCACAGCTTCCAATACTATCTCTATGCTCACAACACCTAAATCTATCTCTCTGCTTCTCATCAAACCGTTCAGTCTCTTCCCGTATTGCTAATTTACTAACTTTTTTCACACCCCTTCCTCAAACTCAATATTTCGAAAACGGAGCTTATAACATTTTTTAACCCCCCACCCCCTCCCATCAAGTTCAGTAGCCATTCACAACTCTGCCCCGAACTTCATCAACAACTTCATCTCAAAATATTGTTCAAAACGTCCACTCTGCTCCTCCCAATACCTCCACTGATGCTCACCCCCAGGATTTCTCCAGAGCTTCTTACATCCTCTGGATCTCCTGACCTCAGTCTGCACGACTATCGCCTACTATGTCTGCCTTTAGGCGATACCTGAAAACTTGTCACTTCAAAGAATCCTATCCTGCCCCCACAAATTGCTTTTATTTTTTTTCATCAGCTCATCCCTCTTGGTTATCTTTTTTTTTTTATCACTTGCACCTTCGTTTGTAGGTTGTAAACTGACAAGCAGGGCCCTCCTAACTCTTTTGTATTATGTTGTATTGCAACTGCACTATCTCCCTTTAATTTGCTGTACAAAGCTTTACAGCTGTGCGAAGTGTTGGCACTATATAATCCTGTATAATGATAATACGGGGAGCCCTGATTTTGATACAAGAGAGACATTTCCAGGCACACTCTGTAGGCTGCTTGCTTTCTTTACTTATTGTCATTAGCACAGATACTGGCTTTGTCGGTTAGCATTAGGACCTGACATTTGCTAGATTCCTGGAATTCCTCTATTTTTACACACAGGTTGCTAATTTGGAAAATTATGCTTTGCTCTGTGGCTACAAGATATGCTCTGGTACAGTAGGATGTAGTAAGTCCTGTTTTCTCAATTGCTGTTTGTATGTTTTGTCTTTCAGACTTCTATACAGCCTCGCCTTTAATGCTAGATTTTTAAGACACGTATGGCACTTAATTTCTTCCATGACAACAAAAATGATTACAGGGTATGTACACCTACAGTATCCAAAATGTTCTAAATACATTATTCAGGTATGAAGTCTTTTTGGAAACTTCTAAAACGAATAAATTATGTAATATACACATGAACGTTATTGATCGGCTATTCTTTCCAAGGTAACTATAACAATATTTTTCATATCAATTGTTTGTATGCTCAATGAGGCTTTGTGCATTTAGATAAAGTAGATCAGCCTTTCTTTCAATTTTTATTTTTTACTCTAAAGGAACCCCTGAAATAATTTTGAGTTCTTGCATAATGGTCTGTGTAGAAGTACCTCCTTACATTTGTGATGAGAATTGGTGGTCATTGCAGAAATGCCAGCCCCTTACATTGATGGCCAGTGGAGAAAGGCTTCAAAGCCTGCTGACATTGGTGGTTAGTGTAGTGCCTCTACATTTGTTATTAGTTATAGTATCCCCATTACATTGGGAACTAGTGAAGAAAAGCTACCCGACATTGGCCCCCAGTGGAGAAAGGCTACCCGACAATGGCCCCCAGCGGAGAAAGACTACCCGACAATGGCCCCAGTGGAGAAAGACTACCCGACAAAGAAAGGCTACCCGAAAATGGCCCCAGTGGAGAAAGGCTACTTGTGAGTGGCAGCCAGCAGAATAGGGCCCTTTTAGATTGAGTCACTAGTGCCCCCTTGCATTGATTGTCACTGGTCTAATGCCACTGCCTTTGCCGGGTGATGTGGGGTGCTGAAACGATGCAAGGCACTGCTCATGGAAGCCCTAGCAATCTCTTGTTCAGGAAGGCTGATAAAGACAATGAAGGAAAATTTTTCTGTATAAATCACCATGATCGTCAAGCATTGCTGTAATCCATGTTTTGCCTTTCCATTCAGGTCCATGGTTCCGCTCCTGCAAGTGATATCAAGAGGCTCTCCAATGTCATTTGAAGATTCCAACCGAATCATCCCTCTCTTTTATCTCTTCAGTTCATTATTTAGTCATTCCCTAATTTCTATACATGATAATGAATTCTTTGGTGATCCAATGGAAGGTAAGAATGGTCAAAAGTTTTTTTCTGTTTTTAACTACAACATGTTTTTAAAAAAATAGACATTTTGAGTTATTGTTGTATATTGTTTACCTGAGGTAAAGCTTGAGAAACCTTTTCAGTTGACCTTCACTTTAACAGCAAATCGATTTAAAATTTGTTCAACCTCATGGGCCAAACAAGAGAATTAATTAATAGATGTCCCCATCCATGCTAAACGTTGTGAATGGAGGAATCTCCCCTGCTAGCTTCTTTATTCTGACAGAGCAGCTGACCAGTGCAGTCACGGTTCTGCTGAGAATTTTCCTCCCGGCTCCTTTTGATTTTCAGATTAAAGTTTGTTCAGCTGGGTGGTGCTAACAGGGCAAACCCACGGATTGAATTCGGGCAATTCATAGGAGTCAACCTAGATATGATTCATGTGGCTAGCTTTAAGCTGGCCATACACCTATAGATTATCTGCAGATTTTCTATGGTCAGATGGAAAAAGTGCAACAGATCCCTCCATCTACGCTAAACTGTGTGAATGGAGGATCTCCTGCTGGGCCAAGCTTCAGTATCTTGCTAGTCGGCTCCACTGACTCTCAAAACACCTGAACCGTGCCTGCATCCAGTCAGATTGTTCGGTGTATTTTGATGACCAGCGAGGCCGATTAGCAAGATACTGAAGCTTGGCCCAGCGGGAGATTCCTCCATCCACACAGTTTAGCGTAGATGAAGGAATCTGTTGCACTTTTTCCATCTGACCATAAAAAATCTGCAGATAATCTATAGGTGTATGGCCAGCTTTAGTTATACTCCAGAGCTAATTAAATTTTTTTTTATCAAACTCAAAGGGAGCAAAAATGGAGCGGTTGGCAACCAATCTTTTATTCTCTACTAAAGAGAAATGTAAAATCTGATTGGTTGCTCTGTGAAACATCTCCACCTTTGCTTTCATTTTTCAGAAATCAGCTATTTTTGTCTGCTTACAGAAGCCTTTCCTTTCTAACTTGGTATTTTCTGCAGACACAAGTGCAGGCATTATGGACTTCATTTTATTGGTTTCTGAATTAATTTCAATACTACCTTGCCCACTATTCCTTTTTGATATGATACGTTATATGTCTGCAGTTATCTAATTTCTCAGTGTATTGTTTTTTTGTTTTTTTTTGCCAGCTGTTGGTCAGCGCCAGTCCTCAATGATGCCTTTCACATTAGAAGAACTAATAGTATTGTCTCGCTGCCTAAGAGATGCATGTCTGGGGATCATCAAACTGGCGTATCCAGAAACAAAGCCAGAAGTGCGGGAGGAATATATGGCTGCTTTTCGAAGTGTTGGAGTAACGACCAATCTGGAGATGCAGCAGCGCATACAAACAGAGCAAAAAAGGTGGATCCAGCTGTTCAAGGTATGAAGTTTGTTTGAAAGTATATTCACCCTTTAAAATTGAATTACTGGGTGAATACAGAGTCAAGAATACTAAGTTAAACACACCCGAGCCTGCTGGTCATGACAGGAACATGTCAGCATGTTCCCTGTCAATGCATGTATGCTGTAACAGAGCCTGATTGGCTCCTAGTGCTGCCCTTCTCTCCCATTGGAGCACTGCTGTACAAGGGATTGCCGAAGGCTAATATCAAGACAATTGCGGGTATTTACACTAGTTTGCATTTAAAATAAATATTTACTTAAATGAACACAGCATTGCATTTCTTGCAGTTTTTATATTTGGTGTTCACTGTTATTCCTTTTATGCCTTAGAGGTAATTGAAGCCATAACTTTAACTAATTTGTCTACCTAAATATATTTGTCCATGTTAAACAGCATATTGATTTAATAAAAACGTTGCTCTTTTATATTATTATAGACTGGCAAGTAAGCAAGAGTGTAAAAAAAGCTAAACTTTTTTAATTCATGAATCTTTTTTTCTTTTAATACTATAATTGTATCAGACAGCTACAGTGCTAAACAATGGAACACAGTGTGTAGTGGCTTCTGCAAGCTGAAACCATTATTTTCTCACTATATTTTTGAGCTTGGTGATCATGTTGTCACAGCTGACCAAGTGTTCAAATGATCAGCAACCAACTGATTTGATTCCAGATTATTAATGGGTAACATAGTTGTCATTGACAGCCTTGTTTGACAGATAGAAGCCACACAAAGTCATTTTCTAGCTGTTAAAGGGACTATGTCTATTAATATAGTCTCAGCTCATTTATACACAGGTTAAGAGTTGGAACGGGTTTAAGAAAACCTGTATGGAGAGAAATATGTAGACTTCCATAAAACTATTCATTTTTAAAATGCTAGTTTCCTGACTGTGTCTGGCTTAAATCCTGGCCCGGAACAAGTATGCTGCAACTGAATTCAGAGGGGAGTCGAATCTTCTGATCTGCATACTAGTTCTGGCTCAGTGATTCAGAAACCATTAAAGCCAGATGATCAGCAAAGTAACCAGCATTTTATGAAGGGGAGGTCCATAATGGCGGCCTTTATACATCGTTCAGGATAGGTTTCATTTATTTACCAGTATTTACAATCAGTTATCTTTTCATCCCTGAAGAACGCACTTTTAGCAGGCAATGATCAAATCTGTTGTATATCTTTTATTTCTTGTGCCATGGTGGCTGCTTGAAATTGGAGGCTCCAATGGGGCAACAATGAAAGTAAAGGATACATAATTGTGTGTAAAACCCAACATCACCAACACCCACCATGAAAATAATAACTCACACATATATCTGCGAAGGTTCTTATTCATTCAGGTCATGAATGAGACAGTTTGTCTGCCACATACAATGCTGTTTTAACACCTCTCTCTGTGGGCAGGTTACCAACACCTCCTAGACTCCAATTATGCAAATGCAATCAGCACCTGGTTGTGACTAACCGATTATGTGGATTGGAGCAAGATTCACAATATTTATTCCCAGATCATTTTTTGTCATTCTGAATTGAGAAAGCTGGTTGGATTATCAGTGAAACATCTTTTTTAGAAAAATACAGCAGTCCAGTTGCCTTGACTTATTTTTTACAGATAACTCTCACATATGTTCACAATCACATGGGGCATTTATTATGCAAAGCTTGGCTCAATACTCAACAGCTGGATGGCAACCAAGTAGTTTTGTTCCCCCTTATTTGCAATTTTTTTGTTGAACACATTTTGTTGAACACATTAAAGTCCTGCTTAATTAGTAGCACATTAGGATTTGTTTAATGTTGAGGTTAATGGAGCAAATGGAAAGCAAATCACTTGGTGGTGACACACAGAGAATCAATCTTTCTTCTTTATACTAATGTCAGCACTTGGGACTTTGAAAAAAAAAAAAGAACTGAACCCCGACTAGTTTTAGTGTAAAGAAAGATGGACTTTGATTTAGTAAGATGATTTTTTTTTTTCTTCCAAAGCAAACAGATCCAGTCAGCTAAAAAAGAAAATCTGTTCATTAAAGACACAGGAGCAGGAGAAAGGCATTTTCCAAATTGAATGCTAGATTTACTGTCCGTTTAATACCAGCGACCTCTCGCTCAAGTAATGTTCAGCTCAAGTCATCAGCTGTCCCTCCGGGTCTTTTATCACTGCTTTTGTCAAGCTATCTATTTAATTGAAAGAAGTTAATTGAATGAAAATGATCAACTAAGCTTGTATTAATATTGCTAATGGAACTTTCTTCTTGGCCATGTTTGGAGAGAGATGTCACGCTAGACTTAAGGAAGGACCCATTAATGCGTGCACTTAACCTGATGGGCTAATTAAGCAATGCTTATTCATTCTACAAGCCTACAATAGCCTTGATCCAACCCATTCTGTCTGATTTTACAACACATTTCACTTACAAGCATGGGCCCGAAGAACATTAGCTGAAGTGAGACTAAATGATAATGTTTTCATAAGAGGGGAGACAGCGCTAATGTGTCATAATATGCAAGGCTTTCCTGCAAATTTTCTGCCTGAGTTCCATTTAAGTCTCAAATAGAGCAGAATATTTCTGTTAATGTCCTTTAACGAGTGCTCCTATTTAAGGAAAACTCACGCTCACAAATTTGTTGCAGTCAGTAGTTTGCTGTTTTCAGAGCTGGACAGATCCCAGGAGCCAAGTAGCCAACACACCAAATAAATGACTAGTGGCCCTTATTTCTTTCAGCTTTTTCAATTGTGAGTGGAAGCACATGATCTCTGGCTCCTGAAGGTGCCTAGGGGCCTATAGCTGTAATAAAAAAAAGCTCCCGAATTATTAATTAATTAGCACGCTGGATACTTTAACAGAGCAGCTTTATGGCTAAAGTTGGCCGTACATGAATAGAATTTCGGGCCATTTCCAGCTAATTTGTCAAAATTCGATCTGCATTTGGCGCTGCCGCCACCATCCAGCTTAACGAAGGTTAATTTTTCAATTGACTTTTTTGTTAAAGGAGCCTGGTGGAAAATTGTCAGCTGATCAGTGACTACAACTAATCAACTGCAGTGACTGTTCAGGTATACTGACAGCAGGTGCCCCACAGTAGTCGGCAAGTGGAGTTTCCTCCATCCATACTGTTTGGCGGGCTTGGGGGAGTCAAGTGTTTTTTCTCATGCAGCCGAAGGGTGCTGAACAAGAAGCGTACGGCGCCTATGGCTGTCAGAATGCCAGAATACTGACTGCATCTGATTTGGCTTTGGCAAATTGATAAAAAAAATTCAACAAGTAAAGGATCCAATTTAATGCGTAAATGGCCACCGTGCCTAGTTCTATTATATTTCAGTATTGAGGTCCTGAGTTTGATCCTTTACCAGGAAGCTCTTTTTTTGTTTTGTTATGGGTTTCTAAGTGGTGGTCCTGTTTCTGCTATCCACAAATATACTGGTAGGTTAAATGAATTGGTTTTGTAGGATCCAATACAAATGTAGGAACTGGCACTGGTAACTCAAGATGCAGGATCCAGCACTGTCACCAGAACAGATGAAGGTAAATCTTCCAAATGGGACACCTCTTTGGTGTCACCCCAACATCACTAAAACAGCAAAATTGGTTCTAACCCTTCACTACTCTAGCAAAAGAGAAAAACATTCTGCCAATACATAACTTTTGGCTGCCATGATGTGGTCTATGTGATATTTGTAGCAGATCCCTTCCTCCCCCACAGCCATGTAAAATCTAAGGACAAGACACATAAAGCAATATTGCATTGTTTGGAGTCATTATGAGCCCATGCTATATGTGCGCTCGCCCCTACACTTACACCATCATGAATGAAATATAAGGAAAGAAAGATGATGTTGAGATTTTCTTTTTCCCGATTAAAACCTGTTTAGCTTTACCATGGTAATGTAGGAATGGCAACACACAGGTCCTCGTTTTTGGAATTCATCCACATGTGAGAACCTATAGGAAGCTGTTGTTTTGCAAAGTTTGTATTGGGCTTATGCTGTGCGAATCGCTTATGCCCATAGTGCTTGGCAGAGTTCTATCTGAACTTTATTTATGGTAAAATGTTATTCTTTGTACCAAAATGTCCTGTTTGATTTTGCAGGCAGTATAATTTTACAATCCTCTGTACAGCAAAGCTCTGACTGAGAGGTTTAGTTGCAGCACAAGGCACTAGTCAGTTGTGCTAGAGTGCACATGTGCTTGCATTTTTTACAACAAATGTGAATGCTTGAATGTGACTTGGTATCAGTCTCTTGGAACCCCCTATATAGCATTACTCAGACTGGTCGAGGTGGGGCAGCACTTAGGAGCCAGTCAGGTTCATGCAAATGTGCTGACAAAGGAAATGCTGATTGGAGAGAGAAGAGTGAGCATACAGATGACCTTATCAGTCTGCCGCTATGACTTTCCTGTCTAATGGGTCAGGGGTGGTGTCAGCAGTGTAATTTCCTAATTGTAACAAATAAAGTGGTTTCATATTCCTGGCTGTGCTGTATGGTAGAGATCAGCACTGCATGGTTAGTAATGCAAATACTTTGGCAGGTAAAACACCCCCCATATATGTATTTTGTCTCTGTATGTAAGGGGTTTGTCTGGAGTTCATCTTTAAACTTTTATTATTTTTAAGATGTTCTATAACAGATATAAAGCATTGTACTGAAGTTTTGACATTTCGTTTTCTGCAGGTGATCACAAACTTGGTAAAAATGTTAAAGTCTCGGGATACCAGGAGAAATTTTTGTCCACTCAATCACTGGTTGTCAGAGCAAGAGAATATCAAGGCTGATAAAGTGAGTTGGGATATTATTTTACTATTATCACCTTTTTGATTGGTTTATGTGGATTTAAAAAGCTTAGAGTTTCTCACAGCTCAGGAACTATACGCTCTTTAATCGAAAAACATTTGTAAATAGTACGGATAGTATTATTCACATTTTCTATTAGGTTTATATACCTTCCTACTACATAAAATAAATGTGTGACACAAATCACATACAACTATTCACATTGCATGGCAGCATCATTTATTAAGCATTTTAGATGCATAAGCAGAGGCTGCCTAAGTGAAAACCAAGCCAAATTGAAGCCAACATGATCAGTAGATCCAGAAAGGTAAGAGCTTCATTTATATGCAAATCTCAGTAGTTTTTTTTATGTTAATGCCAAGATTAACCCTACCCCTCCCACCTGCTGAGCCTGCCTATTGGTCTTTTAAAGGAGAACTATGGGGTCAGTGTTTTCCCCCATAGTTCCCCTTAGGGTAACGAGAGGACACAAACTAGCGTCCTCCCGTTACCCTAAGCTCAGTATACCGCGAGCTACAGCTCGCGGTATACTGAGACGCCGGAGCGGATACCGACTTAGATGACGGGATCCGCCCAGCTGCGTGAGTGACAGCTGGCTCTGCCTATCTAGAGGCAGAGCCAGCTGTACCTGCCCCCTCCCCCGTCCGTTCCGCCAGTCAGCCCTGGCAGATCGGAGCGGGGAGAGGGGAATCCAGCCCCTCCCTCTGTCACGGCAGAGAGCCGTGACAGGATCGAGAGGCGAGCGAACCCGGTGTTCGCTCACCTCCCGATCTACTGAGCCGACCTGTGACAGTCTCATTGCCACAGGTCGGCTAGAACTATGAGGTGAGTGAAAAGCACTCACCTCATAGTTCTCCTTTAAGTGATGACCTGCCTTGCTTGACCTATCATGCTTTAGAAGGGGGCAGGGTCAAGCCTGACTTTCTCATAAAAAGTAAAGAGAACTGTAGCAAAACCTATCTTTTGCTTTAGTTCTCTTTTGGGTCATAGGAGTACATTTGCAAATGTACTCCTGTGACCCAAACTCGGCATATAGTGGCCTACTGCTCACTATATGCTGACAGCGCAAAGCTGCGCTTCAGCCAGGAAAAACCCAGACATATTGTCGGGATACACCCTGCTGCATGATTGACAGCTGCCTCTGACTCTCTAGATCCAGAGCCAGCTGGGCCTGCCCCCTCCCCTGTCTGTCCCTCCAATGAACACTGGAGGAACAAACAGGGAGGGATCCCTGCCGAGAACAGTGACTGACAATGCAGTGTCACACGCTGGCTCAAACTTTTGGGCAGAGTACCTATTATTCTCCTAATATCTCTCCTTTGAGGTTTGCATGTAACTTCAGCTGCCTTTATCCCTGAACCTACTCATCGATGTGACATACACTTTTCTCCGCAATAGGATAACAATTTTATTGTATGCTCAGTTTGTGACAGGAATTCATTTGGATTCCGTTATTGCTCATTGTTTTATTTTACTTAGATAAAGTATATTCGTATTTTGATCTATTATCTGGGAGTGCCCATTAGAGTGATTTGAACATAGAATATGATGCTGTTCATTTATAGGTACCTGTAATAAATGTCTTTGAGAAATGTTGTTATTTCTTGAATTTAGGTTACCCAACTGTATGTACCGTCAGCCAGACATGTGTGGAGATACCGGAGAATGGGGAGGATAGGACCATTACAGTCTACCTTAGATGGTAACTATATGATTTCTGTGTTTTAAAGCGCATACATCTTTATAATTTTTGACTAAAATAAATGGAGTAAATCTTCTAGGCTGCCTATAAATTTTATGCAAGTGGCATGCATTTCCTTGTTTCTAGAATGCTTTATAGGCCTATTGATGTAAGTGACCCTAGTAGGGAAGCAGTATTAGGACTTGGCAGAAAATAAGGTGAAGCTGTTGCATCCAATTAAATTGCAGCAATCAACTTTTTGGGTAACAGTTACAAAAACTGAATATTTCTACTTTTACTGCTTGTTATAATGTGTTCTTTGCTTCAGCCTTTGTACAGGAAGGCCATTGTTCTTTAAATAGTATAGTTTGGTTACCAAATTAAAGATTGCAGTTCTAAGGAGTTCTAAAGTTGAAGGAGTTGTAAAGTCCCAGCACATACTTTCCTGGTATAACATCAGCATTGTTATAGGAATACATACTAGAGTTGTTTTAATAATATAAACAAAGCTTTCTTGAAAAAAATCTTTATATGTAGTGAGTGCTGCCTTCTGTCTGCCCATCACTTTCAACAACTTCCTGGATTCCCAGTGTTCTTTGTATCTCTTTCCCTGCTGCTTGATGTAATGCAATCGCGATTTGTGAAGACTACATATCCCATCATGCATTGCTTCCAGCAAGCAATGATAATGTAACATTGTTGAAATGCTGAGTTGTACTTCAGAAGACAGGCTCTCTTAAGCTGGCCATACACCTATAGATTTTCGATCTGAAAATGTTGTTGCTGCCAAGAACCCTCTTTCGATTCTAGTTCAAATAGCCCATCATGCACAGACCAATGTCGATAATCGGTCGTTAGCAATACTAACTCACTGAATTTCGTCGATCGACAGAACAGATGCTTGCACGTGTGCATTGTTCTTGCAATTTGTTTCCCTAAGAAAGCGCCACTAATCCATACATTTTCGTACGATTCGAAAAATGTTTTCCAGCCTGATTAATCTATGGTGTCCTATCAACTGGTCGATTATCGTTCGAAAGAGCATTCATTGATGGTTTGTAAACAATAATCGAAGAGTGTATGGGCACCTTAAGAATTTTGACATCAGGTGCATATTCACAGGGCTGAGTGAAGTTGAGGAAATGCATCCTATGGGCATCTTCAATAAGTATGTTTACAATATGGTTATTAGGAGTGGCATACCGTAGTACTTATGGGAATTCAATATTGAAATACATATTTATTTTTATTTTTTGACCATAGACCATAGATCCCCTCAAGTGTGTGCCCCTCTAAAATGATTTCAAGAACTCAATAGGAGCCTGCCAATTGCCATCTTGCTGCCCAGTGACAGTGTTCACAGTGACCACTAAGGTACTTTCACTGGACAGGGGAGGGGCAGTTGAGGGCCAAGTTGTTCTTTAAGCCCAGCTGCAGCATCCATTTTTTGTTTTTTCTAAGTTGCCTTGCAGAAGATCAAATAGAAAAAAAAGACATTGCTTCCTGCAATACTCGCCTCCTCTCCAGTGCTATCCCCTGTATACTCAATGCTTTGTGGTCCAGTGCCAGTCCTCTGTCGGTGGGAATGACACCCACCATCTTTCAACCTACTACCTGTGAGTCTTGGGCATTGAGGATTTGCCCCCCGGAGCATGTCATTAGGCTCTGGGCTCACAGGAGATGGACGTGCACCATTTTCTGCAGACTTTATTACATGCCCATCGCTGGAAGTTGTGATGTCACAATAGGTCTGAAAACTTGTCAAAGAAGGTGTGTGTACAATATATAAAAAGAAGGCAGTGGTGGTTTTGCAAAGGAGTAAGGCCCCTGCGACGGTATGAAACTAGTTTCGGAGGCACACACAGAGGAGGGTTTTCTGGCTTAAAAGGTAACAGTGGGCATCTTGTGGTACCTGTTGTTAGGCAGGACTTAAGTTTAATATAGCTGACAGGTTGGCTTTAAAAATAAAATTTGATGTTCAGTGTAATTGGGCATTTAAACTAATTAGGCTAAGCTGTGCGTATGAACAGCTGGCTATATTTACCAGTAATTATTCATTCTCCTACATCGGGCTTTTAATGCTGTGCGTATTGACATCGTCTGACCATCATTCTCCCCATATATTGAAATCTTGAAGGTGAAATGTAGATCAACGTGACTAATTGACCAAGGTAATTGAGTTCCGGCCTTCTAATTGAGCCTTACCTTTGCTGCACATGCAGTTCTGTCTTTCACATACTTTAACCCCTTTTACTATCACCGCAATTTTAGACAGAACAGTGAAAATTTCTCCATGTAATTAATGTTGGAAAGGGAACAGGTTTGATATGATGACCTAGCAGTTATAAAATATATGGAGAAAATATCATTGTGGCATAAGATTGCATTGACATCAGTCTTGCACTAAATTTTGTTTGTTGGGTTCAGAAACCATTTAATATTTTGTATTATTCAGCTTTATGGGAATTTCACCATCATGCATATTTTCTTGCCTGGGAAATAAAAATAAATCTGCCAAAGGACTGATTGTTCTAAATACGTAATGCATCACCTTGTACAGATAGCTTGTCATGAAAGGTTGAAGGATCTGACCTTTTTTATCTACTTCTTGATCAGCAGTTTAAACTACAGTTTTTCTGCTAACTTTTTGTTTGATAAACCTGTATTTAAATTGGACCTGTACTGTGCAAGCTGTGCCCAAAAAGCAAGCAGTGGGCACGGGACTAGTTACCAGTGTTCTCTGCAGCCGATCTTTTCCTCATTACTTACTTACGCTGTCTCCCTGTGTGGAGGAGGTCTTCTTTTTAGAGGCCGTTTTTTTCTTCTTCCTAATAGGTTGGACTTGATGGACATGTGTCTTTATTCAACCTCAAATACTATGTAACTATGTTGGAGCTGCCTCCCTGATAACTGGGAATTAAATGACTGCTGGGGCAATGGTCAAGACCAACAGGTGAGGTTAGGAAAACACAGATCTGCAGAATGGATCAAGCAGAAGTAGGGAGATCATTGCACTGCAGATCCTCAGGTATAGCCATGGACGGATTTACTCTCTCTGCTGCCCCAAGGCCAGGTTCCTCTATGCGCCCCCCTCCCTGCCAACTTCCCCAATGGAGAATGGCAACCAGATGGCGGGGGCGACAGGGTTAGTTTACATTTTTTTATTTTTTTACATTTTCATTTATCTTATCTTTTACTTTTTTATTTCTCATAATTTTTCTATCTTATTTGTTTACTTTTTTTAGGGCTGCGGAAATTAAGATTAATCCCATGATTAATCGTTAATTTTTTTGATCGATCAAAGTTCTTTGGCTCCGTACTCACCTCTCCACCGGCTTCCGGGTCTTCTGTCGGAGATCCGGTGACGTCACGGACATCGACGTCACCGGACTCCTCCCCCCTTCCACAAGTGGCTCTTTAAACCTTTCCCTGCGATCGTTTTTTTTTCTTTTCTGACATCGGGAGCTGCTGCCTGACCGTCAGTCAGAAAAGAAAAAAAAAGGCATACGATTGCATAGCTTGATTACTATTGGCTATTGCACTTTGCAATAGCCAATAGAAAACTAGCTAATGCACCCGCCCACTGCTGCTGTCAATCAGCAGAGGGGGACCTGAATTTTTCTATCAGGTCCTCTTCTGGTGATTGAAAGCAGCAGGGGGCGGGTGCAATAGCTAGTTTGCTATAGGCTATTGCAAAGTGAAATAGCCAATAGGAATCTAGCTATGCATTCTTATGCCTTTTTTTTTTTATTCTGACAACTGCAAAAAAAAAATGACTGCAGATAGCAAAGAAGCTATTGCTTCCTGTGCTATCTGCCATCATTTCAGGGGGGTGCTCTCTCCCAGCCCCCCCTAACCCCGCCTCTGCAGAAGGGGGGGGAGAGGGCACCTCCCTGAAATGAGAGGGACACCTCCCTGAAATTGCTTATTTCAGGTTGGGATCCCTGGCATTGGCCTATACACATACAGCACAGCAATGAAGTAATAAAATAAACTAGGATCACACTAATCCAGCACGTTATTATTCTGAGTTGCCCCACTCAAGCGGCGGCCATATTGAGTGGGGCACGTGAGAGTAATAACGTGCTGGATTAGTGTGATCCTAGTTCATTTTATTACTTTATTGCTGTGCTGTATGTGTATAGGCCAATGTAGTTGGATGTGTATGTGCGTTATAATTAATCGATTAAAAAAAATTCGATTAATCGAACAGGAAATTTGTAATCATTACCAGCCCTACTTTTTTTTATACTTTTTCGTCTTAATATTTGTTATAAATTGTTATTATTTTTTACTTTTTTTATTTTTTAATACATTTTTATTTTTCAGTAAATTTTTTTAAGTAAAGTTAGTTCAACTCAATGGTTGGCTTTAGTTTATATGACTGAAAAGCTGGTGACTTGAAATGTAATAGCGTCAGAGCGTGCTTGGACCCCAAAATGTTGGGGCACTGTATTGTGCAAATGTCATGAAAAGTCAGGCTCTGGGCTGCTCCTGTACCCCATAACCTAATGTTGGTCACCCTGAGGGAACATTGTGGCATTCATAAAGGGGCAGGCCCAAGCCTAATTTTCTGTGCAGAAGCTTGCTGGGTTTTAGGGTGCCAGGTGTGCTTTGGAAGCTATCTAAAGGAGTGTGCTGGCACCTCAGTGGTCTTGATTTTCAGTCATGTTAGCAGGTTTATTATTTTAATATAAGAACAGGTATACTTTAAATGAATGCCCCTTTTTTTTGTTACAGTTTTTAGGTCCACTTTAAAGTCCTAGGTGCAGTTAATGGTGGAAACATTAAATTCAGATGTATCACAAGTAACCTTCGTTTCTCCTTTTATATACCAGCTGATTTTTTCCACCTGTATTTCAGTGGGCATGGAACCAGCACCCCTCTCTGTGTCTGAGGAGCGACAGTTAGCAATACTGACTGAACTTCCATTTGTAGTACCTTTTGAGGAAAGAGTAAAGGTAAGGGATTCTATATGTTTGATCAAAAAAATCTGCGATATGGAGAACAGAGAAGAATATAAAGCGATGAAAAAAGCTGCCGTGCTAGTAATATAAGTAAGTATGCAAAAAGTGGTGCACCGCGCTAATAAATATATCAATCACCATAGATACATAAAATAACAACAACATATAATATAAATATAAACATCAATAAATAATGCAATGACTGAGCTTGTTTTCAGTTTCTGTTCGTAAATGACTGGCACACTTATTACATTTCTTCCATGGCAGTAATATACTTTCTTACTAAATGTACCCACACATATTATATATTTTTTTTAGAGGACACATAGGGCTATATAATTATATCAAACATGTGTACCTAACGCCTCACTTAGTTCGAATAAAATTTAAAAAATTAGGAAGAAACGTAAATAAAATACTTTTTCCACAAGTTTTGATTATTATTGCTTAGGAACAGCTAATAATAACCTTAGAGACTGATCCTGACAGCATGTCAGAATCAGATCTCAGTAAGGGCTAGTTCACACCAAGTGAATTCCAAGAGCAGAGCAGTTACAGACCGGCTCAAAACTGCGTCCTATGTATTCCAATGGTATTTTGGGCTCTAGTTCACACCGCAGCGTTCAGTTCCAGAGCATGTAAAAAAAACTGCAGCAAGCCCTATTTCACCTGCTCTGGAACGCATGCAAATGCATGTAAACGCACTGAAAGCCCATTTTAAACGGGAAAAAAATATTTTTTAAACGACCCTGAACGCGGCAAAACACACTGCACTGCGTGTGCCGAAACTCTCGAAGAGCTGGTCTGCATTTGGTGTGAACAAGCCCTAAAAGTTTCTGATCGTGCCCAGAGATCAGAAGTGATACATTTCAGGCACAGATATACATTGTAACGTTGTGCCTATAAATGTATCACACAGCTTCATAGACATGGGGCCAGTCTATGGAGCTGTCAAACCGAATAGCAGAGAGGTGATTCACTCTGCTACCTCTCTGCTATCTTTAGCTGTCAAATACCGGATAGCTATTGGCGATCCGATATTGTATGTAACTGCTTCATTCTTTCATTAATGAAAGAAAGAAGCTTTTACAAAAGCTTAACTATTTCATTAATGCCTCAATACTAAGGCATTCATTAGTGAATGGTAACCGCTGAGAATCATCCAGTCTTTTAGCAACTGCTGCTTTAGGATCTCCATGCACATGAATTGGCCAGTCTAAACTCTGACCCTCTCCATAAGCAGAGACCATGGCTGTTAATGAATCTTATGTCAGTTAGTGCTTTCAACATATCTAGGAAAGGGGGGTTAAGGGGGCTATCTTATGTTAGGTCTGCTTCAATCTGTGTTCTGCATGTGTGCCTTCTGTTGGCTTAGGAAGTGCCAAAATCAAGAATATGGAGCTGATTATTACAAACTGGAGCAAAAGTTGGGTAAGCTTCACACAGCAACCAATTCAGTTAATCAAATGAAAAAGAATGAAGAAAATACAATTTCTTGTTTGAATAATGTCCCTAATTAGCTGCTGCGGGTAGCAGGTCAACTTGGCCACCAGTTTTCTTCTTAAATCACCCCAGTGGGTCATGTTTAACAGGCTTAGTGGATTTACAATCACCACATTAAACCGTACACACAGTTTTTATTTTAGATCTTTTTTCTAAATTAAAATTGTGAACTGTTTGTCACATTCTGTAATGTAATTATACAATGTGATTGAGTCTGCCATAAAATATATACAGTTTATTGTATAGTTTACAATATTGTAAATTTATTGTAAATTTACAATATATAGTTTATTGTAAATTTAGACTAGCCAATACTGACCCAATAATAGCAAACAGTTCTCCGAATTTCCAGAATGACTTGTAAAGATTGGCCAATTCCTTATTGAGAGGGAATAATGAATGTTCCCATTGGTTGGGGAGATATCTGCCTGCCAATGGCCACCCTTTATCAGTCTCCATATATTCTAATGTGGAGCTTGAAGTGCAGTTGTGCCTGCCACCCGCTTGTTCTCCTGGAAGGAATCAGTAACTCATTGTGAATGTTTGTTTGTTCTCTAGATCTTCCAAAGGCTTATATATGCCGACAAGCAAGAGGTACAAGGAGATGGACCATTTCTGGATGGAATCAATGTCACCATTAGAAGAAATTATATATATGAGGATGCCTATGACAAACTTTCTCCAGAAAATGGTTTGTGTCACATTTTCACATGAAAATCACTATTCTGTTTGTCTATACACAGGCACGATAATGTTATGTAATTGTGTAATGCTTACATTGAATCATGCCTGTTTGAATAAGCATTGGCCCATTAAAGCACAAATAAACCCTCCTATTCTTTACAGGGGAGGACGGTGCCATCTTAGCTTCTTTTACATATACAGTTGCCATGATGCTCCACATGTGATCAGCTATGACAATGAGTCATTTCAGGGCTTGAAAGCTTGGTTGAGGGCAGACATGACCATAATTGCAGCTATCACCAGAGGCATGCCTTAAATGTTTTTTTAGGCAACCATGAAATTAGCGGGGTTAGTTCCAAAATCTGGGTTTACACATAACAGCAGTCGGATTTTTGATTGGTTGATAAGGCAAGCAGCACATGCACTGCTCTTAGCTTTATCTTATTAAGTGCACAATCTCTGAACATGAAAGTTCTTTAAAAACTGTAGCCAATAAATTGCTGCTTCCTTTGAAAACTATTTTGGCGAGTGTCATTTTAAAGTTAGTTATATATATAACGAAGAGTACTCATCTGCTCCTTAAGGACCATGCAGTACAGCTGCAAGATATCATTTACCTTATTACCAGATTTAGAGAACCGCTCCAAAAGGAACATCGGGGTGCATGGGGGTCCCAGAATCTGTAGAGCATAAAGATGTAATGCCAGTGCTTCAATCAATATTTAAACAACTCCTCCATAAAGAGAAGGATGTAAAGCTGATCATTCACCAACCCACTGGGCCCTGTGGTACTGTGCCTCAGACCCAGGTAGGCCACATGACATTATTTGTCGTATTCACTTATATTCAGGTGATTATGGCTGCCACTCGGGCTTCTCCTGAGATACTATTTAATTTCTCCTGCCGTTACCTGCTGACCTTTCTAGGCACACTCTGCGGATGCACTATGCACGCAAGATGCTTCAGGCATTTGGAATGCAGCCTGGGTGGGGAGGTGGGCAGACATCCGCTCCTAAAAAGCAAAGTAAGCTGCCACCCACAGCTGCAACAGATACCTGAATTTATCACCATCTCATATTCCTCATTGGGCCTTGGCCACTATAAGTGTTCATAGCTCTTACCCTGGAAACACTTTGTCTTTCCCTTGGCTAGTTTATAGCCCAGTGGTTTGTTGATACTTTTTTCTTCTTCCTACAGCACTACTAACATTCTAACTTGAACCTTGGCGACTGCAGATTGGGGTCCCCATGAGTGGACACTTTGCAGCAAGTTCTTGGTTGGTTTCTATTGCCGGGAGGAGCTCTATTGTTACATAAACAGGCAGATGACCATGTCCCTTCACTTTATCTTTGGTCACAGGTCACTAGGTTAGCTTCTCATCCTTTAGACGACCACCATCTACCACAAAGAACACTTCCACTCTTTAGATCTGATACCGTCTGCTTAAATACAGTATCTTCCCAATGTTTTCTTAAAGTGTATTTCCACTTTTGCAGACAAATTGAGAAAACCCCTCCTATATGTTTGTGTTTTTATTCACACAGCAAACTTAAAATTAATTAGAAAAAAATTGCTTATTAGATGTGTCTGTGTAGCTGGCCTTTGAAGCTTCTCTGTACAATTTCAAAGTGACGGAAGACTGGCTGTCCCCATAGAATGACAAGGGCACGCTGGGCTTCCTCTCATTAACATACAATGCTTCTAGATCTTTAACCCTTTGTTAGGACAGACAATGTTTAAGTCTAGTTTACAACTGATAATGAGATCGGCCATCACCGTACAGACAGGGTTAATTAGATTAAAGATCTACTCTCCATCCCCATGCATTCCAGGTTAAAATCGTATATACTCGAGTATAAGCCGTCCCGAATATAAGCCGAGGTACCTAATTTTACCACAAAAAACTGGGAAAAAGTATTGACCCGAATATAAGCCGAGGGTGGGAAATGAGGCAGCTACTGGTAGATTGGGCGGCGCTCTGAGCGGGGTCATCTGGCAGTCTCCGGCCACCTAAATTAGGACCCGAGAGACTGCCAGATGACCCAGCTCGGAGCTCCGCCCACCGGGGCAGCAGTGACGCGACGCTCGGCGAGGTAAGTAAGAAGAAACCTGACCACTGGACCACGCTGACTCGAGTATAAGCCGAGGGGGGCACTTTTCAGCAAAAAAAATGGGCTGAAAATCTCGGCTTATACTCGAGTATATACGGTAACTTTTCTTTTAGAAATTTGGAAGCAGTAATTTTTATGGTTTTTTTTAAAGAAAAACTCCAGGGATTTTTTTTTATTAACCCTTGCAGTGGAGCTACCCCCACACTGCAAGGTTAACCGCTCATTTGTGTCTAGGTTAAAATAAAGTTTGATTCGCCCAAAGCACCGAGATGGCTTCTTCTTAGACCAGTCCTTCCAATGTCTCCCCCTTTGCTGCAGCTGTCTAAGGTTTATTATTAGTAATATAATATCAAGACTTTTAATTTTATTTGCTCTATCTCTTGCAGAGCCTGATCTCAAGAAGAGAATCCGTGTCCATCTACTGAACGCCCATGGCCTTGATGAAGCAGGGATCGATGGTGGTGGAATATTTAGAGAATTTTTAAATGAGCTACTTAAATCTGGTTTTAATCCTAATCAGGGATTCTTTAAAACTACTAATGAGGGTTTGCTGTACCCCAACCCTGCAGCACAAACGCTGGTCGGAGACTCTTTTGCCAGGCACTATTATTTCCTGGGCAGGATGCTGGGCAAGGTAAGAAGTACACTTTTCTCTCTAGAGCCATGTGCTGACATTTTAGGATCTGTTCAATAACCTTTTTTGCTGCCTGTTGTATGTATCTCAGTTCTCAGTTTTGTGGAAGAACTGATTTCATGTAATACATTTTCATACAAATTGTGTTTTTTACTTATTTTGTTTCCCTCTCCTGACCAATCTCCCCCCTCTGCATATGCATACTTACTGAGATTCAACATCCCACACCAAAGTCCTCTCTATGCTGGCTGCCTTGCGCAGTAGAGCCGCATAGAAGTCAATGGCCAGGGAGTAGAGGTAGACAAGCCTGATCGAAGTCTATGGGGCCCCACAGCGCAGAAGCAGCCAGCAGAGAGAGAGCGACCACTACAATGTGACATGTAAACAAATATCTGAGGCTGCAGAAGTCAGATCTTGGTAACTATGCATCTGCCAAGGGGGAGGGTGGGATCTGTTGGGTCAGGGGATGGGGCAACATGAATACGAGCATTTTATTTTGAAACTGCGCTTATTCTTTTAAGTTATTTCAGAAATTCGTTATAAACAAGCATCAGGGTAGAAGGTGTTTAGGCTAGAATCCCCAGTCTGAGAGGGAATATTATTCTTGTGCATGATTCCAGAATAGAACATATAGGTTTGGTTGGATGAAGTGATAATGATTACAGCAGTAGTTTTGTGTAACGACCCCAGTAAGAATCCTTTGGGCTTTAATATAATGTATTCAACCTTATACTGAAAGTTTTTTTGAATATCCATAGAAGCCCAACTCAACTAAGAGAGTTTGCAGGATGCTTTGTGAGGAGTTAGGGAAGTTGATCTACTATCCTACCTGCTCTGAACAGATTGAAAATGAAAAAACTTAGCTTCTCGAGTGTAGCTGTCCAGGCCACAGGCTAATGGGAAGAGAAAATAAATGAATGCAAGTCCCTCCTTTTAATGTTTGTTGGTCCAACTGAAAGCTAGCTGTAGCTTCTATTAGCTTTGTTGTTTTGCTTTAGCCACGGCTTTTCATAAAAGTAAACCTGTGGCTAGGCTGCGGGTGTTTAAATATTTCTATATGCTAACGAGCAGTAAATTAGCTTAAAAACCAAGCCTTTGTTGACTGCTGGAGGTACTGTGGAGCAATTTATGCTCAAAATTCATAGGTAGAAGCACTGAAGTGGTTTCAGTCATTCTCTCCACAGCTTAGTACCCCCGACCTCGAGCTGAGCCGGAATATTTCAATGTCCGTGGCCTGTCCACAGTTACATTTTTCCAGACTATGCCATGCAGAACCCTCTACTATATTTAATGTTAGCAATTGCACTGAACCCCCAAACTACCATAGTGCTTCGAGCTGTTTGGCTTTTTCTGACACAACACAACCCTACCTTAGGAACCATTTGAAAGCAGCACTCACCTAGTACAGGATGGTTTCTATTGTAAAGCTGTTTATACATCATGTACAAGGTGGAAACACTGCATTTTAGGTGGGAGAATATACTTTTGACATCTGTTTTGCCGTTCCTTTAAATGACAGTAAAACGTGTTTTAACCTTTTGCAAAGTTCCTAAATGATGACTTTCTTGGGTAATTTTAATAGAACAAAAGAGGCAAAGCCGTTTTGCTTCAGATGAGGTCATAATTTTAATGGAGCGGTGATGATAAATTGTTTAGCAAGATTTAATAGCGCAAAGAATTGTGTTTGAATTGATTTGATTTTAGGATCTACATTTAATCCATAACAGGACTCCTGGGCATTATATATGAGTTTAAGTAGAATTGTGCCAAATGTATATGGGAAATAGATTCAAATAGTGGAACCCAAGATAATTAAAAGGAGTTCAGAAATATGAATTTCTTTTCAGCCAGATCTAGTCATTTTTGATATAGTGGAAAGCTAATGGCTATCACTTGGAGCAGGGGATATATTACACCCAGTACTTTTGAAGGAGCTGTAATTTACACGTTCATTCTATTTCCAATTACAGAATTAATTTCTTTTTCTGCAATAGAGCATTTCGAAGGTGGAGGAAAATTTGTTGCATAATAATTACTACAATGAACTACACAATGTCTCCCTAACTTCTCAAATCCTGTTTTCAGAATGACAGCAAATGAGAAAGAGACACAGAGCCATTACTTCAATAAAGTATTCATACTGCTTTGCTATAAAACACAATTGCAAAAAAAAAAGGATTTAATAATTACTATGTAAATCCAGCTTTCCAGCAAATGTTTTGTTACCAGGCAGGACACAGAAATCATTAACTTTGCAAATAGAATTTATTATCGGTCTTCTTCCTTCGTGTTTAAGCACCTTTTTAGCAGGTCAGTTGTTCATAATTGGGTATCTTCAAATTTTGCCAGTTGCCAAACCCTTTATTGTAAACAAAGCCTCTTCCATTAATAGTTGTTGAGTACAGTAAAGGTGTATGTTTCAGTATATGAAGGGTCATTTCAAAATATCCATAGTTGGCATCTTGTGAGACCATATAGTTTAGATCTGTAGTAGGCTTGGTTCTGGCAGTGAGTTGGTTACCAGAGAGTTGTCTGATCTCTTACTGCTGCCAGTGGCATTCATATACCAATTGACCTGACTCGTAGCCAGTTGACCTGACTTCAGTTCAGGGGTGGCATGCCCTAGGGTTCTGTGCTAGGCCCAATAATGTTTAACCTGTTTATTAATAATATTGGGGAAGTTGTTAATAGCCATTTTCTGTGTTTGCAGATAATACTAAAATTAGGAGTGTAATAGACACGGGCTTAGACATTATAACATTACAGGAGGAGCTGGATATAATAGGAGAGTGGGCAACTACATGGCAGATTAATGTTGAAAAATGTAGAGTAATGCGTTTTGGGGTTAAAAACAAGCAAGCGGAATACACATTTATGGGAACTCCATTAGGGAAGTCGGAAGCAGAAAAAGATTTGGGGGTCATAGATGACTGCAGATTAAACAATAGCACGCAATGCCAGACTACGGCAAACAAAGCTAGCAGAGTACTGTCATGCATTAAAAAAGGGAATGTACTCTACAGACAAAGCAATAATTATGCCACTATAGATCACTGGTTCGACCTCATCTTGAGTATTTGGCTCAATTTTGGTCACCAATCCACAGAAAGGATGTCCTTGAGTTGGAGACAGTCCAGAGAGGGACAACAAAACTAATTAAGGATCTGGAGGGACAACGCTATGAGAGAAGGTTACTAAATTTAGACTTGTTCACTGTAGAAGTGAGGCGATTAAGAGGGGACATAATTTTGATGTAGAAAATTTTAAATGGTGATGGAAATATCAGCCATACACTGTTTTACTGTAAACTCCCTAAAGAAGACTAGAGGCCATCACCTAAAATCGGAGGAAAAAAGATTTAACCACAAGGGGCGTAGAGGCTTCTTTTCAGTTAGAGCTGTAAAATTGTGGCACTGTCTTCCACCAACAGTGGTATCAGCAGAGAGAATTCAATCCATTAAAAAATCATTTAGCTACCTTCCTCAGAGACCATATTATACAGGGGTAGAGGTACTCTTAAAAACTGGAACACACAGAGACTAATATACACCCACGTGCTCACAAAGACTGAACTTGATGGACCTGTGTCTTTATTCAACCTCAAATACTATCAGGGTTATTCACAAAAGGGTGAAGAGTTTAGAGAAGGCAGGAGAAGTAAACTGGAAAGTGAGCTGAATTGGAGAAGTTTTCCAGGTCAGCTATGTTGTCCTAGATTGTTCACTTCTCCTGCCTTTTCCAAACTCTTCACCTGTATTGTGAATAGACCTGTACGTAACTATAGCAGAGAGCTGGACCTACACATCCTTCACACCTTGGTTCTACTTAGGTCTTCTAACCTCCTCAATCCTGGCAAAGCTACCAACTATAAAACCTTAAAACTACTGTTCATCCTCTGCTGTTCTCCACATTAGTTGGTACATTGACTGCATTGGCTGAAGGTAAAATAAATGGCATATGGAAAGAGTGCCCTGGTATAAACACTGCAGTTCAGACTCTCAGTTGAGAATGAGGCCAACAGTTTAAAAAAAAACAATGTAGTTGTGAAAGTAGACCATTTTTGGTACTTTAGAAATGATTACTGATTGAATTAATTTGATTGATTAGAAAGATATTGTAGAAGAGCCATGTCCTGAGCACATTGATTGTGGCATTATAAATTCACCATCCTCTCTTAATGACTGTTTTTGTCCTACGTGAACTGGGGACTTCTGATTGTCCCCATCTCTGTCCAGCCTAAATTTATGTAATAATTACCTTAGTATTAATTGACCAATAGAGTTTGGTCTTTTTACACTAAGTATCCTATTGACTGATGGGGCTATTTATGGGGTCATAACGTATTTAACTTTTCCTTAATGTATACGTTAGTGAATGTTTACCGTGATAAAGTATAAAGTCATCTGAGAGGAGAAGAATTAGCTCTTGTCAGTGCTCTCCTCTGCTAAAACTTCCATTAGCGAATGATTCTGGTGCTGCATTTGGGTAGTGATTGCATTTTATTGCCTGTAAATCAGCCCCACGGACAGGGAATAAATAAACAGTTAAAGTACGGTATATGGTAATAACATCATGATCTTTTGCAGAAAGCTTTGCCTAGTTAACTTTAGGGTATTATTCGTAATAATTCTGCTTGCTAATTGAACGGCTTTGCTTGGCTGCAACTTTCGTCATTTAAAATCAGCACAAAATATCTGTAAACACGGGTGGTTTCTTACTCGAAATATAATCATTTTTATTTTGTAGCTTTTTTTTTTTTTTTTGGAGAACAGTAATGGCTCAGAGCTATCAAGCACCATTAAAAGAGAGCTTGTTGTGCACACTATAAAGGAGAGTAAAATCTTTGTAATTTTATGGCAATGATGCCACTGTTTGTTATTGATGTAATAAAAGCCTGGCACGGTACCATCTTATTGGAAGCTATTCTAGCCATCCTGAAGAACTTTGTATTTATGTGAATGGAAGTGTCTTCTATTTACAGGCAAGAGTTATAGTCCCTC